ACCACTTAAATCCACATGCGCCAAATTCTTTCCTGCTTCTATGGTGCAGTGGTATCTTGCTCTCCTCTTCCACTCTTCCATCATCACTTCATCAGGCTGGGTTTTTTTCCTGAGCTCTGGGTGTGTTACATAGCCCATGTTGGCCTGAGACATGCAGCCTTGTGATAGTGCCAGTGAAAACACCAGACTGTAACAGGATAATGAGCGAGGGAGAGAGGATGGCTCTGTTCACCCAATGTCCACATTTTACCCCAAAACTCGGCCACAGTTCAAGACATGATACGAGATCCCAAACAACTCTACAGAGGAATATCTCAAATACACACCCAGTTTCCTTGAGTTCCATATAAAGTGAATGGAAAAAAATCTGAAAAGTATAATGAAAAAGATATTAACAATTTATTTACATAGGAACTAACTTTCCCACTGAGACTCCGTTATGCAAGGTATCCAGAGCACCAGTGGGACCCTTTTGTTGAAGTTGTTTATTGGTGGAGAAACTAGAGAAGACAGTAACCTAAATATGGGGAACATGAAAAGTCCAGCTCTCGCATGGAGAAAAAAGCTCAGTACCTTATATGCCACAGTGCCGTAGCCCTTTCAAATATAATGTACAAAATGTACAAAAGTGGGATGAGGGCAACAAAGGGCTCCATGTGCAGTAAACAAGTCATTCAAAGTGCCAAATGTGGTCATTTTACAAAAGCTATTTTACACCCAGATCCACTACAAGTAATGCAGTCATCACATAAGCAAAAGAGAAAATCTGAATTTCAACACCTGTTTGCTATACATAACTGCAGAAAATGTTTGTATAAAATAAACTTTCCAACCCCACCCAACCTCCATCCCAGAATGCTAATGACTTGCTGTCACCACTCCGGTGTGCACCCTGACCTCAGGTTCACCCATCATACTCTCCCAAAGGACCTGATCGATAGCAGCACATGACAGCTCCACACACAGTCCTCAGTGAGAGTGTGGAGCCTTGGACTACATGCCTGCTTTGCTCTGGATATGGACAGGGTCTATTTTATGGCTGAGCGCCTTACATCCCCTGTGTGAGCCTTGGCACTCTGACTGGGACTCTCTCTCCAGTCTCCAGGGCCCTTTGAGGTGTTAAGCACACACACTAGACCCTGTATATGCAACAACGCACTGCCACACACTAAATGGAAATATTCAGTATTCATAATTCAACTGGTTAACATTATTTCCCAGGAGTTCTTTCTGTCAAGGCCCTAGTCATTTGAATCCACTTAAATGGAGAGCAGATCTGCCTACAGTGAGCATTGAGCTGGGGTTGTTTCACTTGACAGTTGGCTGAATATATTATGGTAAAAACACTGGTGTCAAGCACGGTTCATCCACAGACCCCAGAGTGCTGAAGCCATGGAGCACATGATAACAGAGCCTCTTTATATTAATCTTCAAAATGCCTTGTACTGGATTATCAACATGCATTTTGAAGTCGGGTGATGTCTTCCATCAAACAAAGAATGTGTCCATCCTCATACAACACTGATAATGGAAACTGGATTGGCAATAAATATGAATATTCCCAACAACTGAATTGTTTGGCTTGGGTTTATGAATGTTTTCACACATAAAATCCTCTTGTAAATCTGGGTGTAGGACCAAAGAGTCAGTCCTAAGAAATTATTATAAATTAAATATATAAAATTTATAATATATTAATTTACTTTTGTAATGTGCTATAAGTTGATTGATAGAAAAGTATTTAAGAAACTGACAGATGTGTGCTAAGTTTTTAAAGTAAATCCAAGATATACGTTGACAAAGGGCTGATGGGCCTCTGTGGAGATGTGCATATTCCTGTGTATTTGTATGCGTGGTGAGCGCGTGCTGGTGTGTAAGAGGTGCTCCCTGCTGTAGCGGCCGCGCCACCGTGCCATCTGGAGAGGAAATCGAGTGTGAAGTACAGTATAGTTTGGGACCAAGCTCCGTGGCAGCGGCTCAGCAGTTAGTTCATTAGTTCCAAACTTCCAGGGATTAGGAGCGAATCTCTACGGCAGGCAGTGAGGAGGGGGCAGTCCAGGAAGAGAGAGGGAACCATGTGGGGAAAAGAGGCTGGGTAGAACGCTGCAGGACCTAGGGCACTGAGAGAGAAAGAAAAAACATGAAATAAACAATCTTAACCCTGGGAACCCTGTAAGGAGTGACGGGGAGCGAGAGGCGAGTGAGGGGAGAGCGAGGGAACACGGCGAGGACAGGTGTAGCCGTCAGTTCCGCTCCTGGTTTAACCTCCCCCTCCCCACTGATCATACAGATATGATGATATGTGTAAGAGTGTTAGAGCACTCAGCCTTGTCTGCCTCCCCTCTGGCTCTGCGCTGACAGTTAGCAAGCTCTGGGTGGCTCCTAGCCTTTACTCTTCCTCTCATCTCCTCCAAGAACTTTCTGTCATGAATATCTTCTGGCCTGTAAGGTGCCAAAGGTGAAGGTGACACATAATGAAAAGAATATATTAATGAACAGTGTGGTTTCAATTTAAGGTGTATCCATGCATGACTAGCAACGAAGCTAGCTCAGATGTCACCTGACCAAGCACCACCCGCTGTTGGAACAGTAGTTGGTTCATTTAGTAGGAACATATCTTTCATTGTCTTCTACAAAAAGAGTATGATCACTGTAACACTGTTCTAACAGATTCTCAAACTCAAAAAAAGTGCAGGCCCTGCAATTGTCCAGATCAAAAATTTTCCAGTCCAAAATTTTGCCTCTTGACCTTAATTTTCTACTAAATTGCCTGGTTGTATCTTCCTTTATAACAGAGTTTTGTGGAAATGTAAAAGTAGCGAGTGAAATAAGAAAAGAGAAAGAATTAATGAAGGCAGTATCATGCATAACCTACAGGTCTGCCAGGTCTGTATGCACACTTCAGCTTGGGCATAGATTTATTGATTTGCTGACCCCAAATGGAAAAAAAAGAAGGTATGAATAGGGATTGCTCAAATATAGCAAATATAAGTATTATTGAATATTGTTATTCATACCTTGCACTGTGGAAATATTTTCTTTAAAATCATAGGATGAATTCCGAAAAGGAACCAGGAGGGTTGCTTGGGCAGCCTCTACACAAACATCTGGTGAATGATCTTAAGTGAAGGAATCAAATAATACACAACAACCCCCGTGGATTTCCAATTGCCACAGTAGAGAATGAAGCTGAGTGTGTGGGAAGTGAAGAAAGGGTGCCCGTAGGAAGAGTGCATTATGTTATCGAGTAAATAACTAATTTTTATATTACACAGTATGACCTGACACATGCGGAGAAAAAGCGACAGGTTTGACACACACTGGGCTAGACTCTTTTCAGGGGAAAAAGAGCTAAAATGGGTTCTTAGTAGCACACTTCTAATGGATATAGCATTAATGTATAGACTGAAAAGTAATAAGTGTCTTATGCATAGAACAGTTCCACTACTGCATACTGGTTTAATGGTCGGCATTTCAATTCAATTACTCTAAATGCTGGGTCCACCTGCTGAGTGACATTCTAAGTTAGAAAGTGCCTGAAGAATAGTTTTTCTTTTAAATACAGGAAAATATACATGCTGCTGAGTCTTTGTTAATGGACAATCACAATTAAATATAAGAAATAAGTATTATTAAAGAGGATAATAATGCATAATTCATTCAATAGTATGCTTTTAGTAGTTTAACTCATTCACATATTCAATTGTATGCTTACTGCAAAGAATAATGTAGTTTTTTATCATCATATAGTTGCCTATTGACTGTGACAAGTTTGTATGTACTCAGTCTATAGTACCTATGTGTATTTAGATTTTTTTTGTATTAGTTCTTCAAACATTTTAAATTAAATAACAGAACATAACTGAACTGTGTTTGTAGAGACGAACATCTGAGTTCCTCACGTCTGAATAAATGCTGTGAGCTGCATTCCTCTCCACATTTCTCTCTCACATAAAGAGACTGGCATCCTCCGAACTCCGACGCAGGGTCACAGCTCTGGCCTGTCAGTCACACGATCATCATCTCATTGTCTTTGTCTGGGCTACAGGAACAGCCTCAAGCCGAATCAATCATCTTTATTATCATGGCTTAAAACCTTTTGTTTGTTAACTTTTTTCTCCTCTTTCTCTCACTCTCCAATCAGGATTTCATGGGCAGTTCATGTGGGCCAATGGGGAGGAGGAGTGGGCGGGAGGAGAATGCTTTTAACCTGCTGCATCTGGTGCTTTCCCGCTGCTCACCCAGTGGGACGTGGTCACCTTGTTTTAAAGGGCCCACGTAGGGGGCAGCTACTGCCTTTATGTGATCATAATGGGGAGAAATGCGCTTGTTTTAAATATCTTACTTAGGTAGTTTTCCCTTCAGTGATTAAGAAAAAGCACCTGGCTAAAGCCCGAGCACCTGTCTGGAGGAGGGCGGTAGAAATTAAAGATTAAAGGTTCAAAAGATTGTTTTACTTATCTAGATATTCAAATTAATAACCTTATGTTAAACTCACAAACGAAATGTATGTATGACCACAGCCCACATACAGCAATTTACAGCTTTAAATTGATTTGTAATACTTAACAAAGGGTAAAATGTAATCAAGCAAAGGTTAACTTCTTACTTGCTTGTGTCCCATCCAAATATTTGTTTAATAATACATTCAGTATATGAATTTTGCAAAAAAAAGTTTTTTTTTTTAAACTGAAAATAATGATTTCTGGTGGAAACTGATGATTACATTCTACAACAGTTCCCTTGAATAACAACTGATCTACTGCTGCATAGCTACAGCTGACAGTCAAAAAGGTCCAAGACGGATTCATTACCAACATGTCATGTATAACTATAATTAAAACATAGCATCTTCAGAAGCAGTGCAGCAGCTTCTTGCATTCACAAATTGAGAGTTCTTGCCATACGGAAACATAGAAAACTGACATAGTGTTGTGTTTCTTATCAGTGGGTTTCATGCTGTGTTTCTATTACACACATACACTTGTCTGTCTGTGTACCTTTTTGCTGAGGGCTACCCCATCTTCACAGTCTAAGACGGCACAGTCGACGTCTAGCGAGGCCAGCTTCCTGAGTTTTCGCTCATCATTGCCGGGGCAGTAGAGGACGGCTCTGCGCGGGATATAGCGCAGCGAGGGGCCCGAGCAGTGGTGATGACGACATACTCCTCCAAACAGCTGCCAGACTGAAGACTGGAGCTGCCTGTTACACCTGTCAACACAAACACACACATTTTAATAAAAGAAAAACAGACACAATATCTACCATGTTTCTTACAAAGAGAACAAAGACAGGTCAGAAAAGTACGAATGCCCTTACATTTAATATATGGTATACTTTTAACAAATTTAAAGGGCCCATATTACGCTTTTTTCTGACCTATGTTATAATGTTGTATTAATGTTGTTTTGTTTCATTCACACGTTTAAAACACAAACTCTGCATATTTAGGCTGTGTTCTTCTTTCAACTAGAAAACACTCTGTTCCACTCTGTTGGGATGTGTAGATGGACTAATAATAAAGGATTACTCAAGAATGTGTGAATGAAACAAAAAACAACTCCGGATATTTTTCATGAGGTAACAACAATCAAACATGTCTTAAACCTCACAGGAGTTAATTTTGGGTAATACAGGCCCTTAGTAGACCGAAGTTTAAGTATGGGGATAGTTTCTTTCTAGTGTCCCCAATGGCTAAAGTAATAATTTATTATTTTATGTATGAATGAATGTAGTTCTTGTTTTTGACACAGAATACCACTGCACATTACTCTTCCGGTACTCTTCTAGATACAGCTGTGTCTTTCTTCTCTTTAAACAAATCAAGAATCTGGGCTATGATATTCCTGTTTTAAACACAGATTAATTAAGTTAGTATGATGAAGTAAATAGTTTTGTAATTTACTTAATATATATTAAAAAACATCAGCTTTTTACTCTCTTCTTTACCCCAGGCCTGTACAAACAATGGGGTAAAAACATGAGGAAATGGCTGAGTGGAGGGAGAGGGGCTGGAAACGTTTTATTTAAGGTGTTAAGTTTTCTTTTCAGAGGACTATTGACATGGATGAGGGACACTGACCTGTACTTCAGCACTATTGTTAAGGACAAACACTCCCAAACACTCACCACTCATATGCTAATACTCGCACACTACTGAATATGGAGGCAGGTCTGAAGGTGCAAATGGGGTGACAAGTGTTGGCAAAGCTCACTCACAATAATCCTTCATTATTTAACAATTGGAAAGGCCCCCAAAGACAAAAAGCACATTTACACGCAATGTCCAGTACTTTAACAGCTTCCAGATCCAATTTTATTTACAACTGCTAATACAGTAACATTACTTTAAGCTCTACCAGTACAAGCTCTTTTGCTTGTATTGTTGTGACCTTGATCTTGAGTTAATGACTGCACAAGATGCAGCATATTACAAATGCTACATCCATGTAGAGTAGCAAGGAGCCAAAGCTCCTGCTGTTATAAAGCAGAGCAATATAGCTTTATATAACATAAAGTGACAATGAAGGTGTGACAATATCCAAAGTGCCTTTATGTTTATTTCTTTATGTGCCTCTTCACTGCTATAATGGTCGTATATGTTCACGCAGATGAGTAAAATGAATTGCCCATGGGCACCACAACCATATGAAAAGGGTGAATTCAACCATCCAATAGTTAAAATAACACTTTTTGTGTTAAAAGCAACTCTGAAATATTTTACCCTCAAATTTAACCCTCCAGTTTTTGCGGTGTAGATTTGATTTCAAACTTTTCACTCCAACTACCACCTACGAGAACACTTGGCTTTCCAGGTACTGTTAGATCTAATCAGGCCCAAATGAGGAATAATGTAAACTCTGACATTTTGTTACACCAGGGGTGTCAAACATACGGCCCGGGGGGCGGCTCTGACCCTCCAAGACCTTTAATCTGACCCTCGGCTGATTTTCTACTAAAATATTTTAATTATATTTTCTATTAAAATATTGGTAATTTTCTGCGCCGCTTAGCATAGCAGCGTCTCCAGAGCCTCTGTGCGTGGCCCCTCCCACCAGAGCAGCACAAATGAAGACTTGCCTTTTTCCAAATGTTCTTAAAGGACGATCATTTTGACTGTTGACTGTGACACTATCATCAGCAAAATGTCAAAAATGAGAAAAGTAGATGCCAAGTGCAGAATTTTCCAAGAAAAATTAACTTATTCCTATTTGCATACAAGTTAATGTTAAAACATTGTGTTGAAATTGCATTTTTCTTAAAGTTACAGGTTGTTCATAAAATTATAATATTTTGTAAAAGAAAGAGTTCATCAATTAAAAAAAAAATCTGTAATAGATTTGTGTTTCTCTGCACAAATATTTGAACTTATTGCTATTTTTGGGTTTTATATGGCATGAGTTTTCTGATCCGGCCCCTTTGGGATCAAAGTAGGATACGGCCCCCGGATCAAAATGAGTTTGACACCCCTGTGTTACACACTGTCCTTTGGACACATTATGTATATGTGCTCTCAAATCATTATTAATTTCATGTAAAATACATTTTAAAATGATAAGTTCTGGTTCAGTAATTATTGAGATAATATAGGTAATAGAAAAAAAATCCCACTATTTATTTAAGTATACATTTTATTATTATCCCATGCCTAAGATAAACCAAGTCAAAAAAGAGACTAAACCACAAATAAACAAAATAATAAAACCCACAAGAGAACAAAAACATTCACAGAATTGTCTCAAACTACAGAGGGCCTTGCATACCACCAGAGCCATCTTGGGTAGCACCAGTGGTGCGTGTACCACAATTTGTCAAGCACTGTCACAATTCCAGTTTGGATTCTTAGTTTGCATGTGACAAACTGTATTTGTTTAGTACTTTGTCTTGATGTTTGTTTAGTACTTTGACTCTTTTTACAATAGTTAAAAAACTATTGTAAAAAGAGCCTTCTTATTTGTATTGTATTGTCTCAGTGCTCAGACATGTGCATGGCACAACTGGTGTGTGCCCCCCTCCTGATGGCCACACTCCCACACAGAGGCACACACCAACAATCATCAGGACTGCACACTTGTCTTAATCATTCGTTCTGTCAATCTGCATTTAAATCTGTAATTACAGAGAACCCACATCTCCCACTACTAACTCTCTGGGTTACAAAAGCCTTTGAGGGATCACATATGCAGATAGTGCCCTTCTTTGCCTAGAGGACAAAGGGAATAAGGCCTAGACAGAGGTATACTTCTACAAATGGAGTAGGCTTTATTCTGTTGTCTTGTCTTTGAGAGTTAGAGGAGCTAAAGTCACTTCAATAGCTACTTAATCCTGTCAATGGGCTCCTACATGCCCTCCAGACAGCCAAACTTAATCTGGCCTAAAGAGAAGAGCTTGTAGCAAGCTGTTGCAAACAATTCACAATGCCTGAAGCAATTCCACTTCATCGCTCCCAGGTAAATATGTAGGGCAATTTTTGAAATTCAATTTCCAGGCAGGTAAAGGTGATTGCATTTTACACAATAAAGCCAAGAACTAAGAGGAAATGACTCTTAAGAAATAGAAAATTAGGAGACAGACTTTGAAGTGTGATGGCTTGCCAAAAATTGCACCACAATAAAGCATGTTTTGAATTATTTTAAAACTGAAACTTGGATTTAGAGTTCTAGTTTATGTTTGATTGCCCCAATTGGGTTGATATCAGAATATTCAGAAAAAACTATGTCAACTGCCTTGTGGGCAAATTGCAAGTATCTAGTGAGTTATAACAACAAACTAGTGTGGCTGCATTTGTAGCTATAAACTGCTATAAAGTGCTGCGACCTCACCACAGTGACAGCATTTACAGGTCTGAAATCAGAGCAAAGAGCCTGGGTTTTAATATGGTGCAAATGGAGCTGGTTCTTATTAACAGCTCAGCCAGGCCTGTAGATGGGGGAAACACAAGAGATGAGTTACCAAACAGAAAAAATATTATTTTGTTTCATTGCGTGTTGTGAGACATAATAATATAATGTATAACATTACATAACATAACATTATATAACATTAAAACACAAATACTATGGTGCATCACACCTACTGCTCTCCATTGCAAGTATCACTGGTATCACACAAGACAAGTCCATTGTAGCTTGGGTGGACCAGGATGCCTAGAGACTGGGAGGCACTGAGGAAAACTAAAACTAGAGATATTGTGTCTTTCAAGAGACTAAACAAATTGTGATAAAACAACTAAACAATAATCTCACAATTTTAAGTGCACATAGAGAATGTTTTGCAACACTTCTTAATATTGTCCAGATTATAAAAGATGACAAGACAGCTTTATACCTTAAACTTCCAGTAAAACTTGACTCACACAAGAGAAACATTCCTATTACAACTGTAAAACCCTGTCTAAATAAACATGATTTATTAATGACCATGATTGACCATTGTTTACGATGGTTGTCATTGCTGCATTATGAAAGCCAGGGTAATTGCTTCATTATCATAGCTTCGCTCTTTGTATAACTACCAACGGCCTCCACCTGGCACAATAATAGCCTAATTCAGGTAGTAATATTCATCCAACCACACAAATTACCCCAGATAACAAGAAGCCCACTCAAAAACAGTCTCCATTTCAATATGTAGATTTTTCCAAATGATCTCCAGCGTGGGGATGCAGTCCGAAGCTGTGTCGAAAATGCACAAAATTAAAGATCTGTGTTTCGGGCTTGCAATAATCAGCCACGTCTTAATATGCAAACTACGGTGTCTGGGTTTCTGTGCTTAAGATTCCAGATTAAATTTGGTGAAAATAACAATGAATAAAGAGTAGGTTGGAAATCGATAGAGCTGGGGCATAAACAAGCGCTCCATCAGCAGAGAGTTGTCGGCAGGTGGGAAATAAAATGGTCAAAAAGTCATCAATATTTACCTAGGCTCGTGTCCACCTGCCTGTCTGACACTTCTGCTTTGGAGAATGAAGACAGGGGCCAAGGCATTCCCCACACAAGCCCCTCTCTCAGCATGAGTCTGCTAGATGCTTTTTTTACACTGCCTCGGGTCTGTGGACACAATTGGATGGGAGAGAATCTCTGAATAATTAACCAGACACACAGAAAAGCAACAAAACAAACACACTTTTCAAGTACTTTCCCCCAATGTTTTGTTTATAAATGTTATCCCTGAGGACTTCTGTAGATTTCAAAGACATTATCAAAATTACT